AGGGAGAAAAGTGAAACAATGAATTAATGGAAATAAAAATCTCTGTAAATGTTCATTAAAATTAATAAAATATAATTTTAAAAAAACTGTCTTTCTTGAACTTGGTTCTGTCCTTCCTCAGCAACCTTAAAATTATCTTTTCCGTTATGTCATACCTGTAATTTGAACACCTAACTCGATCATCATCAGGCCTGCACACAGATGGAGAAGAGGTAATTCATTGAAATGGGAGAACCAGGCACTGAAGTGTCCCTTATACCAGAGAAGGTAGGGTAAAGGTGGGTGGACAGATCCTCATTCTGGCAAATGGCTCCACAGGAACGTTCACCAGAATTCAGCACGACAGCTTCTATATTCACGCTGCTTTTGTCAGGTGTTGTTGAGTTGGCCCTGACTCATAACCCCATGTAAACAGAACAAAAGTGTTCAGTCTTACAGCATGTGCTGGCTCATAACCCACGTACACAGATCCTGCACCATGCTCACAATCTCTGCTCTGCTGAAGCCCACTGGTGCAGCCACTGTGTCATCTACCTGGCTGAACAAAGCAACGAGGGCAGTTACAGAAGTCCACCATGTTGGGGATGTGCTGCTAGCAGAAAGGTCAATCCATAAGCTGCTCTGTGGGCAAAAGACCAGCAGTCTCATCCTATAGAGATTTGTTCTTCTTGTTGTACCATTGAGTCAGAACCAACCTATAGCTGATCCTCTGGCAGGTTTTCAGAGGCATGAGATTGCCCATCTTTCTCTTGGGATTGCAGTGCAGCTTCTTGCCACTAGGTCACCAGAACTCCCTTGTAAATCCAATGGAGAGTCACAATTGACTTGATACAGTGAATATTAGCAGTATGTTTATTTAATTGGTTTTGCTTCTCTAAGTCAACCTATTCTAAGACAAATTACTAGGACCATCCAAGCCAGGACATCACACTGAGGATATGTGCAGCGATGAAGAAAGTCACAGGTTATAGAAGAATAGTTGAGTATTGTTCAGAATAATGTCCGAGCACTTTTGGCCTCCTTTAAGTAAAACACTGTAAGCTGACTACTTGTTATGTGCTAAATATGTTTCTGAAGGCTTCAATAAAGTAAAAAAAAAACCGAAACAAAACACACAAAAAACACCAAAAAGCCCTCAAACAATGAAGCCATAGTTTTTTCTTTTCTTTCTTTCTTTTTTTTTTTGTTTTCTCTTTTTTTAATTTATTTTTCTTTATTTTATTATTTTTTATGTGTGTACCATCGTGTCATATCTGACTGTACAGGAGGATATGGACCTTCCATCTCCAGCAGAGCATTTGGTGGATTCGAACCACATGCCTCTGATTAGTTTTCTTTTTAAGAGACTGCCTTTATATCACTAACTTCGAAGGCAAAGGTATATCCCTAATGACAGCTGTTTCTCTTTCAATAACACCACTTCTATGCCTACTTGTCCCAAGAACTTTACTTGAATTAATTACTTTAAACCTCAGAACAATGCTGGGGAAGGATTAACCTTGTCCAGAGGAAGGTCCAGCTGTCTTGGAGAGTGGGCTCTCGGCTCTTGGCATGCCCTGTCTAGTTATTGTCAGCGTCTTTTTTTACTCGAGGGTTCTGGACCAATTTAGAGAGTTTATACCAAACAGTATATTTTCTGGTGGGTCTTTGGGTCATGTGACATCAGCTTCATCTCTGGAGGGACTGGAGACTAAGGTCAGACACGTCATGATTACCATGTTTATGTGGCTAACCCATAATGGAAAAACACTGCTGTACATTGTCACACGTCATTTCTGGGAGAACTAAACCCAGTAGATAGGAACATCACTGGGAAAGGCAGATGGAAGCTGGTCTTTCCATATTTTGTTATAATAAAATCATGATCAAGAGTATATGATTTTTCTGATTGTGAAATGACTCATTGAACTCTACAATGGTCTTCAGAACCTAGCAAACTTGCAAGTACCAAGACTTGGGAATAAAAAAATGCTTTAAAACATTTTTATCCCCATTTTCCTCCTTTTTATGAGTCTTGTTCAAGATCAAGTCTATTGTACTAATTGTTCTTAATTCTTCAGAGAAATACTCAGAACTTGGAAAACTGTCAAGGATGAAAATTGTTCTCTGGGACCTAAACTCACCTGTCTAGGTTTGCATGTCATCGCATTGGTTCAACTACAACCAGAGTGCTACTACAAGAGAGATTCCATAAGCATGTAGACATATGATTCCATTAACATTTAAGACTCATCTAATTACAACATTGCTCTCTTTAGTTGCCATCAAATTGGTTTGAACTTACGGTGACTTTCTGTATAGTTAGGGTACTCTGCTGGCCTAGTGAGTGAGGAGTTGTACTGCTGATCCAAACTCAGGCAGTTTGAATTTACCAGTTTCTTTGAGGAAGAAAGATGAGCAAGCAATCTCCTCCTGCATGATTTCCAGCCTCTGGTAACTGGAGGGCCAGCTCTGAGTCAGTGCCAACCTGAAGTCTGCAAGTGGTTGGGCTGTTGCATAAGCGAGTGAACTCCAAGGTGCAGAGCCAATCATGATGATGGCCAGACATCTCGGCAGGGGCAGGCTGTTCCTCCTCCTCTCAGAAGCAGGAAAGGGAGTTCTAACCATGAGCCTTTTGATTAGCCACTAGTGTCCTTTATATAGAACAGAATGAGTGAAATGTGTTAGATGCCCAGAGGTTAAGCTTTTGTAGAAATTTAGGGAAAATTAGACTTGGCACCATGTCAACATAAATGGCTCTTGAGAAGGCTTTTGTCCATGACAATGTGAGACTCATATAACTTCTCTCTTCTCACAGATGAACCACCTGAGACTCTAAAATGGGCAAAAGCTGACTGCAGCCTGAGCACATGAGTCACAGACAGCCCTCCGTGAAGGTGCTGCCAGCCTGCTGAGCAGTGAGGGTGATGGGAGAGGAGCCACGAACCTTGTATGACAGATAGGACCCCTGGGCAGGATCCCCAGGGTTAAGGTTACCTGATCTTCTGAATTCGACAGTCCTTCCCACTCAGCACACTGCCCAGCATCTCCATCACAGAATCTGGGAACTGGTTGGTGTCCAGCCTGCCCAAGAAGAACAGTGAGGCACATGATACCATTGTACAAGGTCCTTGTATTGGGGCCTGAGATTGAGCATTGGTCCCTGGTCTCCACATCCAAGCTGAACACCCCACCCCTAGACCATCACCATCCTTGTGAGACAAAGATCCACACAGAGCACATACACAGTGTTTCAAGTTTCCCTGAGGACAGTGAACTTGGAGGCTCAGATGCTATGAATCTGTAGTTTTTGCCCAGGGTTGTGTCACCCCAGCAATCTCACATGTGACCTGCACTTCTGAGGCACCATGCTCAATGAAGGAACTATTCTCTGGTCCCGGGATCTTGGCCCTCCACCCTCCCCGCTCCCTCTGCTGAGGTCCTGAGCAGTGGTTTCAAGTAGAGTGGGTGGGGTTGAGAGCACAAGGGCAGAAACCATGGCCAGCCCTTCTCACTCCTCTGCCCCCTGCCCCTGCCCCTCCCAATGCCCACCTGAGGCTCTGGCAGTAGAGCAATTGGGGCAGCAGGCTCCGGAGGACAGCCTGGCTGAGGCAGAGGGACAGATCGGCCTCCTGGGCGCAGGCAGGTGACACCTGCAGCAGGTAGGCCAGGGCGGCGCAGTGTGCGGGCCTGCTCAGCCTGGACAGGCCTCCGTGCTGCAGGGCCTGCTCCACACCGCAGGCCAGCTCCGTGTGCTGCAGCTCCTGCAGGCAGCGTACCAGGTTAACGGCCCGCGGGCTGACCACCACTTCAGGAGCCAAGCAGCCCTGGAGGAGCCCAGCCACCTGTGCCCGGCAGCCGTGGTGTTCGCCTGCGGCCACCAGGGAGCCAGCCAGCAGGGCATTGACCCCCGGAGACAGGAGGCCAGAGAGGAAGCGCAAAAACACATCCAGCCGGCCATCCTCGGCTTGAATGGCCCGCTGCACAGCGCCCCGGAAGTGTGAGAGGAAGCCGGGCCGGGGCCAGGACACACCACTGTCCGGGAACAGGTCAAAGATGGCCCTCCTGGACGCGCCATAGTAATAGCTGGCAGCCACAAACTCCTGCAGGGACAGGTGGGGGAAGCAGTAGGCTGCTGGGCAGCCCCGCGTCTCCTCCTGCTGCAGGAGGCGGCCGCCCAGCGCCATCTGCAGCAAGCCCGGCTCCACCCCGAAGGCCTTGAGGTCCTGCTCGTAGAACACATGCTTCCTCCTGACCAGCCCGTGGAAGGCCAGCCGGCCCAGCGTCCCTGCCAGGCGCCGGGACCCCTGCTCGATGCGGGGGCTGGCCTTGCCCTGGGCCTCCCCGCCCAGCGCCATTCTGAAGTACCAGGAGTAGATTTCGCTCAGCGTCCTTGGGGGCGGCAGCTGGTGGCGGTACAGGTGTGCAAGCACCAACCCCGAGAGCTGGCAGAAGGCGGGCACAGTGCACATCAGGTAGAGAGCGCTGTGGGCCCGAACCTGGGCCAGCGCCCAGTCCACGAGCCTCTGGTCCTCTGGGAACATGTGCTCCAGACACGCCTGCACCTCCTCCTGGTTAAAGCCCCGGATCTCTGTCATCCTGTCCACCAGGCCCACTGGGATCTGGCTGGCTGCGCCCGGGCGGGAGGTGACCCAGACGGAAACTTCTGGAAAGAGGTTGCCACGGATGATGTTGGTGATGAGGCTGTCCAGCTGGATTTCCTTCCGGGGGTCTGTGCAGGCCGCAGTGTTGAAGTCCAGAGGTGCCTTACACTCCTCCAGACCGTCCAGGACCAGGAGGGCCCCAGCCAAGGCCATCGCTGCCAGGCCAGGCTCCCCGAGGTGCGGGCAGGCGAAGCAGGCGAGCTTGTGGGCCGACAGCCTTTCATGGGCATTGAGCTCCCGGAAGGTGAGCGGAAGCACCATAGAAAACTCCTTGGCAAGCTGCCCGCGGGCCCAGAGGTGAACAAAGTGCCTCACTAGGGTGGTCTTGCCTACGCCAGCCACCCCAATGGTGATGGAGATGCGGGGCGGGATGGACACCTGCGAGAGGGGCAGGAAGAGCCTGTCCAGGCTGATAGTCCTGGCGGCCCGGATGGCCCCGCGAGTCACCTCCACCTGCGTGAAGTCGTGCTCCCGCAGCTGCAGGTCCGTCAGGCCATCCACAAGCAGGAGGCTGGTCAGCCTCGCTGGAGGCTCCCCGAGCACCACGCTGAGCCCCAGCCTGCTCAAAAGGGCCTCCCGGTGTCTCTGGATTCTCGCATCTATGGGACAGATGCCCAAGTGGGGAGACAAGGGCAACGTTGCAGGGGAAGAGGAAAGGGCTTAGGCAGAAGTCCACCACTCCCCAAGCCTGTCTTACCATTGCCATGCGGTTCCAGTGGGAGATCAGGCGACCTGTCGAAGATCTGAGGGGCCTGAGTGCCTTGACTGCCCTTTCCTGCCAGCAGGTCCACAAGAGCTTTCACCTGCTCAGCTGGGGAGCCGCCACCATGTCCGGGGCTGGCCTCCCCGCCTGCCCGTACTTCTTGTTTCTGCATGCAGTCCACAGCCTTTGCCAGGAGCTGTGGACAGAGCACCCAGCCCTGCTGCCAACCCTGCTCCATCCAAGGTCTCCTGGGGACATACTAGGAGGCCAGAGGAGGCCCTTAGTCTAGCCCCCAAGAAGTACCTCCACCCAGCTGGGAAGGGGTGCTCCTCCCTGGGTGGGGAAACAGTCCTACCTAGGAGAACTACCACCCCACTGCGTCCTCATCAGTAGCCTGGGAATGGTGATGAGTTGGAAGGAGTCACAGGGAAGGGAGACTGCTTCCAAAGCCCCTGCATAGTAAATTTTTCTGGGTGGTCCTGGCTTCTCCTGGAAGTGGAGGGATGCAGTAAGATTGAGGCCTGACCTGTGAGCCGGCAGGTAACCCTGCTGGAATACGGCTGCCTCTCTTCTCCTAGGACTTGAGTGGATTTTGTCCCCAGGACTGTCCACATGGCCTCCTTACCTGGCATGCAACCAGCAAAAAGTCTTTTCATTGCAGCTGCCCCTCCAGTGGAGCCCAGGGATCAGGGGAAAGGAGCTGGCTATCCCTCACTCATGATTCTAGAGAGAAAACTAGAAGACACAAATGAATTAAGAACATCACTACTGGAAATCCATTTGTGACACATTGTTGCTGTCTTTGTAACAATGACTGAAAGCAGACTATCTTTTTGAGGAAGGAATGAAGAGCTTTTTTGTTGTTTGGTGCTGTCAAGTTGAATACAACTCATAGTGTAGTTGCCCTACACTGTGCCGACTTTGCACTTGCTGACACATTCAAGCCTGTTGCCACAGTCACTGTGTCAGTCCACCTGTTTGAGGGTCTTCCTCTCTTTTGTTGAGTTTATTGCCCTACAAAATGAAAACTTTGGGGTTCACTTGAGCTTCTTCTTGTTTAGTTTGACCCATTTTTTTATCAGGTCATGTCTCTAAATATGGTAACACAAAGGAAACCTATTATATGTGTCTCAAACAATATGTGAAGAATGAATGAATTAACAGGTGGTAAAGTTCTATTAGCTATTTTCAGTGAAGTGTAGCTTGATAATTCTACTTGTAGAATCCACTCCTGCTCTTCCTCAAATGAAACTGCTAACTACTGTTTAAGACACCATATCTACACCAGACGAAAAACTGTCCAGGGTTTTATCACATTACTAGCATTAAAGGTCACACCCATGAAGAAATTACTGAACAAGTCCTCACCACTGACGTGAAGTTCACAAAACATATTGCACACTTCACCAAAGATGACATTCAGATGGCCAACAAGCACATGAAGAAATGTTCAAAATCCCTAGCTCTAAGAGAGATGCAAATCAAAACAACTATGAGATATCATCTCACCCCAGACAGAATAGCAAAATTTAACAACAGCAAGCAACAAATGCTGGCGAGGTTGTGGAGAAGCTGGAACCCTTATTCACTGTTGGTGGGAGTGTAAAATGGTGCAGTCACTGTGGAAGGCAGTATGGCGCTTTCTCAAAAATTTGCAAATAGAGATACCATTTGACCCAGAAATTCCACTACTGGGAATATATCCCAAAGAGACCATAACTGACATCCAAGCAGATATATGCACACCCATGTTTGCCGCGGCTCTGTTCACAATAGCAAGGAGTTGGAAACAACCCAGGTGCCCATCAACAAATGAATGGCTAGAGAAGCTGTGGTATATGCACACAATGGAATACTACCCTGCATTGAAAAACAAGGAACTCATGCAATATTATTCAAAATGGGTGAGCTTGGAGGACATTGTGCTGAGTGAAATATCTCAATTCAAAAGGACAAATATTGCATGGTGCCACTGCTGTAAAATGGGACTGATATCAGGGTGGGGGTAAGACTGAGAAAAACTGGATAAATTGTGTATACTGCACTGGAACAGAGGAGGGAGTGAATAATTTAAAAGCGTTGTATGATAGGGTATTATGGTTATCACAAGAGCCCACAATTAAGGTTGCATAGTGGAATGTACTTGGGGCAGTGGGAGGGGTGCGGGGGGATTGTGTACCAGGGAGGGAGTGTTTCTTTTACTTTTAAAAGAGAGGAGCGAACTGGGGGGAGTGGGGAGGGCTCGGCGGGGAGAGAAGTGCAGCAATGAATGGAAATCCAAAATCTCTGTAAATGTTCATTAAAATTATTAAAAAATAAACAAACAAAAAACCTATTGCAGAGTGCCGGGGCCAGTCCTGTGACATTGCTGTCAGCATGTCAGGGCATATAAAGGCCTGCAGCAGAAACCTTAGAATGGAATGAAGATATCGTTTTCAGACCCTGTGCTTCATATTCACTTAATATTGTAGGACACAGCAAAGTAATAGATTGTTATTTGAAAGCAGTTGATATTTTTCTGTTCAGTGATTGTACATGTCTTTTGCCACCTTTACTTACTGATGAGCTTTTCTGGAAATACATTTATTTAGGCAATAATAAAGTTTTCCATTGTTTTTTTTTCTAATACCTGTTGGAAAGCACAGACCATAGCATCAAATGCAATTCCGGAACTTTGCACTTGGATTCTAAATACCAGAGAAAAGATTGCTGAGCCTCAGGCACAAAAAGGAGCCTGCACACATACATGAATAAAAGTCATCTTTCCTGACTGTAAACTTACTTCTCATGTAAGAATGAAATTGTCACACTTCTGCATAAAGGTTTCCACCTTGACTGTTGGAGTAAGCCTGCCCTAGTTTCTTGCTTGCCTTGGATTCTTCCTCAAGTATATTCACAGTGTCTAAAAAGGACAATTTCGAAGAGCCTCATACATTTTTACCCTACTTTTCATGCAAGATTCAAGTGTGTTAAACACAGTGGTGTATGTGAGAAGTCGAAAACCAACAAAAGAGAAGCTGAAAGCATGGCCAACTAAATTCAAATGCTAGATACTACACTTGCATTGGTTATAATTGGTTTATAATTTATATTGCAGCATTTCCACCAAATGAGTCAAAAGTTAATTTAAAGACATGCACAGATCCCTACCAGCCATTAATAATTTAAGAGAAGATTTTAAAAACTTATGTAAGACAAATACTGCTCCTTACTGATCATCAAGCTGTTCATCAAGGAAATACGTGAAAGAAACAGGTAAATTATAGAAGTGCCCCAGAAGTACTGAGTGCCCTAGACCAATGTCATATAACCACACACCACCCGAACAGTAACACACATGAATCTCGCATAAAAAAGGACAAAGTAGGAGTATATTTCAGTTAGAGTTTCCCTCTTAGTGTGGATATATCTGAGGAAGAATGCAAGGATCTAATAAACTAGAGGAGGCTTATCACAATGACTTAACCTATATATGTTGTTGTTGTTCTGTACCATTGAGCTGGAACCAACCCATAAGTGACCCCCCCAGTAGATTTTCATAAGCAGTTAATTATACAGGAGGTGATTGCCCATCTTTCTCCTGCAGAGCACCTGGTGGATTCAAACTGCGCTATCACAATGACTTAAATCCAAACTTTATGGAGAGGTGTTCCAACTTCATTCTTATGTGAGAAACACAATTGCAGATTCAGGAAAAATTTTGCTCGTGTAGGCACATATGCTTCCATAATTGTTGTTGTGTATTCAGAGTCAGAACCCACTCATAGCTGACCCTCCAGTGGCTTTATAGAGGGAGTAAATCACATGAGAGTTGACTGTCAAGCTTTCTCCAGCACAGCACCTGGTGGGTTTGATCTGTTTACCTTTGAATTGGCAGCACAATGCTTTACTACTAAGCCCCCAAAGCTCCCTTTGCTTCTATAATAGTAGATAAAATAAAAATTATACATCCCAGATGGATTGAGTCAGTGACTGAGGTAATGAGGGTGGGTGGGTCAGAGACAATAAGGTTGGCTCAGGATAGAGTAGATAGGGTTCAGAGCTACCATACATAGGGTTGCTATGAGCCGCAAGTGATTCGACAGCACATAACAACAACAACAACATATATCCAAAAGTTTAAATTGCTTTGTATATGTTCCTAACTTTTTTCATTTATTCATTTTGCACATTTTCATCCCCTTCCCTCCCCCTCCCGCAGCCCACCCTGCAATACATCCCTTGTTCCAGATTGTTTTCATGCATATGTTCCTAACTTTAATGATCATAAACTGCACAAAAGAATGGTAATTCTCATGCCAGAGAGACCCTAAAATCTTCTGTGTACCACAATGATTCAAGAAATTACTTAGAATCAACACCCTGTCCTTATTATATATAGTAGATATTGTCTGGCCCCTTAACTGTGATGAAATAATTGAAGAATTGGTAAGAGCAAAGAATAGAAGAAAATGTTTTCAATACCATGTTAGAGATGAAAGGCTTATCTAAAAATAATATATAGTAAGTTATTGTAGTGCTTATTTTCTGATCATACGTTCTTCTATGACATCTTTTCATTGGCTTATTTATAATTATAGCATTGATCACAAGTTAGCATCAAAATTGGACTATGATCTATTCAGAGCAGAGCTGGTGAAAGTCGCTTCCCCCTTGTGGAGATCCACAGGATTTTACAGTGACTTTACTGAAACAACTAAAGCCCCTGACTTGGTTTCTTTGTTGTAGAATATATGGAATATTCTTTTTGTAGACAGTGTGCTATAGAGTAAAAACCTTAGTACTTTGCTTCCACTAAAAACTGTATAACCCAATCGATCTCATTCTACTAAGCTGCCATATGACATATGACTCTTCGGCATTAAGTTAACACTATTAATTGCTTGTTGTGGTCATTAGATGCTACTTGAGTGAACGACAATTTATAGCTAGTATTACAGCTGCCATTTATTTTCCCCCCATGGGACATAGTGTTTAATATTACTCTCTATATGTTAGTAAATGAGAGAGTAAGCACATTAAAAAGACATAAAATACAATGTTTATCTATCTTACAAAATGCTTATGTTCTGCAATAATGAGTGTTTTTCTAAATTCATCTTCTAAGAAAACAATGAAGGGCATTTACAATATTTTAATCTTAATATTCACATATATCCATGCAAGGAAATTGAATAATTATTTGAGGAAATAATGCTTATGTGAAATCTATACTTGGACCAGGAGGTACTCATGAGAACAGAGCAAGGAAACACTGCATGGTTCAAAATTGGGAAGGGTGTATGCCAGGAATTTGTCCTTCTCCATACCTTTTCAACCTGTATGCAGAATAGATTGATTATCTGGGAGGCTGAGCTCTGTGAGGAGGAATGCGGCACCAAGATTGGAGGAATACTCATCAACAATCTGCCTTACATAGATAATACAACCCAGCTTGCTGAAACTGAGGAGGACCTGAAGGTCAAGGACTGTAGCTTTCAATATGGATTGAAGCTCAACATCAAGAAAACAAAGATTCTCACCACTGGGCCGATTGGCAGCATCATGATAGACAATGAAGAGATTGAGATTGTTAACAGCTTCAGTTTGTTTGGCTCCACAATCAACACTCTTAGTACCAGCAGCCATGAGTTTAAAAGAAAAATTGCATTGGGAAAGTCTGCTGTCAGAGACCTCTCCAGAGTACTGAAGAGCAATGATGTCAGTCTGGAGACTAAGGTGCACTTGATTCAAGCCATGGTCTTTGCAATTACTTTCTATGCGTCAGGAAGCTGGACAATGACTAGGGATGATAGAAAGAGAATTATTGCCTTTGAGCTATGGTGCTGGAGAAGTGTATTGAATAGACTGCTAGGAGATCAAATACGTTTGTCCTAGAGAGGGTTAGACCAGTCTGCTCCTTGGAGGCAAGGATTCTGAAGCTTGTTTGACATACTTTAGACATGTTGCAAGGAGGGACCAGTCCTTGGAGAGGGATATCATGCTTGGGAGGGTGGAGGGACAGCACAAGAGAGGAAAACCTTCAATGAGATGGATTAATTCAGTGATTGGGGTAGTGGGGGTGAGTGTATTGGAGACAATAAGATTGACACAGGATAGAGCAGAGTATAGGGCTGTTGTACATAGGGTCACTAAGAGTCACAAGTGATTTGATGGCACATAACAATAACATAAATATGTTATATTTTACATTTCCCTTCTATTGACTTTCTCTTAAGAAATTTGATTGATACGGATGTGACATGTAAGATAAACTTGTTCATTAAAAAGTGATATTCTGTATTTTCAGATATATGAGTTGAATAATTTTACCAAAAAACGTAAATTTTATAAATCTTATGTATAATAGCAATTATATTTTCCTTTTCATTACAAACTTATTCCAAACTTCCACATGCTAACTTCATAAAAATGTACCAGTGACAATATAAGCATGTGACTCATAATTTATCTATGCTTATCCTGCACAACATGAACTAAACCAGAGTTTCAGATTGAACACGTCTTTGTACTGATGTCATATTATTTGCAACCACTTTCACCCCCAACTGGTCCTCAAGAGTAGCCCAGTGATTTGTGGCATTGTGGCATTAAAGGACAAAATCTGAGTGTGCAAAATTTCCAAGTTTTGTTTCACCTTTAGAAAATGAAAAAATTCTATTGGTGAAGAAATTGTATACAGCTGCTGTTTAAAAAGAAATTACATCATGAGTAGCTAAGACATGCATACGTACCAGCATGCCTCATTTTGCTGTCCTTTGCTTTACTGCACTTCGTACATATTGCGTTTATTTTTAACTTTTCCATGATGCTGTTGCACACTTCACTGACGGCATCTCAAGCCAAGCGCAGTGCTGATGAGCAGTCCTGCCTTGGGGTCAGGAGGAGGGTGGAGGCAGCAGTGCTGCTAATCTATGGCCACGCCTCCTTAAAGTTAAATTGAGTTCTCTGAACATGCAGCAGATGAAACCAAAAGCCAAAGCTGCTGCCATCAGCCAATTCTGACTCACAGTCGTCCTTCTACTGGGTTCCTGAGGCTATAAATTTTTAAGAGACTGTCCATAATTTTCTCCCAAAGCAGCTTATGGATTTGAACCAGTGACCTTTTGGGTAGCAGCACAACATGTAACACGTTACGGCCTCAGAACTCCTCTCAATATACTAAACGACATAACTTATGTTCTGAGAACCCCAAATATGTGTGTAAGTTGCTTTGCTGTGATATTCACTTTATTGGCCTGCAATCGAACCTACAGATGTCCCAGGCCTGTGTTACATATGCATATGATTCACACACTCCATCAGAACGCATGCGTAATCTAAGGCAGGGACACCGCTGATTAGCAGTGGTTAGGGTTTAATCTAGCTCTGTGGGGTCCTTTTAAATCCAGTTTTTTATTAGGAAGACTGAAGCTGATGACCAGTAGTGAGCAGTGACAGGCAAGGCAGGGCCAGAAGGGACTAGGGGGGACCGAACACCATCTTCCTCAGTGCCTGCACCCCAGGTATTCTTGGGACTCAGCTCCTTTTGGGGCTTGCCCCCTAGGAAGGACCTGGGACTTTGTTTCTGGGATGTGTCTCTAAATTTCCATGCTGCCTGCCTTGGTGGCCAGGTCTCTTAAACTCAGCCCTAGGAAGACCCATTTTGTTTGTCTTCCACGCACAAATTTCAGTCTGTTCTCAGCCCAGCCTGGCCAGGCCTTGGTACAGCCTCAACCCCAGCCAGCTGAGGGTGCTGGCTTGTTCTGGAAGGGCTGGCCCTGCTTGACTCATCTACTGCCGATGATCCTGTTTGACCTCGGGCACTCCCATAAGATGGAATGAAGCCTCTGCCCCTGTGTGTGGCCTGAGGACCATGACCAGCTGATCAATCACTTGACCAGCTGAGATGAAGTGACCACCATCACTGAGGAAGGCAGAAGGTGCATTGTTCTTTGAGTTGCCTAACTCCCCCTCCCACATACACACACTACACTGATAGAAAAGGGTGATAGCTGGTGCAAGACACACCCCTCATCCCACACTGACAGAGAAGGGTGACACCCAGTGCAACCTCCCTCCCCAACCACTGACAGAGAAGGGTGACACCCGGAGCAGGCCCATGTTGATTCCTTGGGGTTCCAGGAGCAGGGTGGGGACACCAACTCTCTGCGTCACCAACTCTCTGCGTCACCTCAGCCGAGAGCTGTGTGGTTGTAGTTTAGGATGAACTCCACCACCTGCTACCCTTCCTCAGAGCGCAGCCTTGTCTCCACCCATGAGTGTGGATGGACAGGGAGCTGCTGGGGCTGTACTACCACCCTGTCCCCCTTAATCCTTGTGGCCTGTGACCCTGGGCAGGGCAACTACAACAGAGAAGTTAGGCGGCCAGCTCAGAGTCTCACAGCCAGGATAGAGGGTCAGAATGGCACCCCACTGCCCAGTCACAACCTGGTGCCAGGTGGCAATAGCCCCACCTCATCACAGTACCCTGCCAGTCCTGGACACTTCTCCATGTGTCTCACTCTGGTGGCTCCCAACAGGGGGTCTAATGGCATCTCCACAGCAGCCTGGCCCTCCCACTGTCCCCACCCCACACTCAGCAGGTCTCAGACCTTGGGAGTCACCTTCCTGCTGGCCCAACCCTTTCCTTCCCTGACCCTTGTGCAGGCAGCCTGGATGCCACTCACCCTGGCCTTGGGCTGTTCCAATGCCATGCAAAGTGGGGCTTTGGGGTCCTACATCCTCAGCGACAGTGCCAGCAGATGAGATACTCAGCAAAGGGAGCCCTATGCTGTTCTGGGCCCAGGGTGACAGCCGAGTGGTGGCTGCGTCTTCCTGTGCAGGGCCACCTCTACCTTCCTTCCTGTCTTATTTCAAAAGCCAACAGCCTCACAACAAATCAGCGAGCAGAGCTCTGCCAGTCTGGGGCAGGAGTGGTGGGGGTCTTGTCTTAGGACCTTGGGAGAGAGCCATGGGCTTCAGGCCACATGGCAGAATGCAGCCATTTCTGCCTGTCTCTGTCCTGCTCAAGAGCCACCATCGGGGGCTGGGCTGCTTCTATGGAGCAAGCGGGAAGTTGGATAAGTTTTGGAGTCCTGAGGTAGCTGCACAGGACAGGACCTCACTGCCCAAAGGAGCCCACACACTCCAACTACTGCCACCCCTTTCTTTTGCTTGACCCACAATCGGAATTCCTATGAGGGGTCTTGCCCCCTCAGAGAAAGGATAGGAAGAGGTCACCAAGGACCCTGAGGGTGGACTTCAGTGGGTGGTGCGCACAGTGAAGGATGACAGAATAGGCAGCTCTGAGGTAAAACTGCAACAGAAGAGGACTAGTGATGGAGCTTGTGGGCCTGCATTTTCTCCAGCCAGCAAGTGGGAGCCACCGATGGTTGTAGAGAAAGATAGCAGTGGTCACCAAGGCTGTGAGGTTTGAGAGTGGGCAGACAGGCAGGATGTCAGCTGAGATGTGGGTTCTTCTGGGCCACGCATGCTTCCCTGCCCCCAGCCCTGCTTTCAGAGCCCCAGAGCATGCTGGGTGCTAGGTGTGTTCCCAACAGACATAGTGGGACCCTAAGCTACACAGCCTAAGCAGCTGAGGCAGCCACCCACAGGATGCTGAAAACCACAGGGCTGTGTGTGTCTGTCACCAGAGCCAGCAAGGCCCACCTGCCCTGCAGAATCCTCAGCAAGACTACGACCTCTACTGTCTCAGGGACACCCCTGGATATAGCTTTTCTCTGCCTCCATCAAGGAAAGGTTTACAATCCCCACACTCTAGAGGCTAGGGGTTCGTTCTTCTGGGGCTGGAGAGTGAGGTTTTATGTGCATCTGGAGGGGGTCTTCCAGGCTGTCCTAGGGGCCTATGTTGAGGGGTTTCTGGGAGGTATGTATTAGGGGGGTGTTCATGTGCCGATCTCTGAGCTTTGCTTGTCTGTGTTTAAGTATGTAGAGGGGGAACCTCCTGGGTTCTCTGCAATGAGGGTTTGAGTGGTCCATGTGGGATGGCTGTGTGTTTCTGGTGTGCCACACCCGCCTCGCTGTCCTCTCTGGCCACGACGCCTGTGTGACAAAATGGGTCGTCCGTGCCTGTACGGGGTCTCTGACCTCAAGGATAGCATAAGAGGGAACCTTGCAAGCCCTGTGCTTGTGAGTGGGCTGATGCCTGGATATTTGTTACAGATGGGTCTTCGTAATCCCGGGAAACCTCTGGAAATTAAGTTGCTTCTAGGGATTGCTTTTCTATTTTTAAGCTATGTGCTGTTTCTGATAAGAATAGGAGTTTCTGGGGAAAAACCAGGGGAACTTCACCAGAACTGGGATAAAGATTTAACTAAAGTCCTTAATCAGGAACCATTTGATGTTCCTGGAAATGATAACATACAAGATGAAAATATAAAAGAAATTGAGATTGCTCTTAAAAGTATAATTTTGAATATGATCTTTGAGTATGTATCTAATTCTTCTTTCGTGATACTTGCAACTCATATTTAGTAATGTAATTGTATATTAGGAGAAAGTTTAGACTAGTTTCAACAGCAGAAAGTCATAGTTAATGAGAATAAAACAGAGAGGTTTAAGAAAAGACTCAAAAGACAAACTTCTCTAAAAGTAAAGGTCTCTTTAAGAAATAGGAAATATTACCAGATAAATAATAGGTGGTGGGAAGAAAGTACTTATAAAGGACCATATGTCCTGCCAACTCCAACACCAGTACCTCTTCCTTATACAGACGTTTTGTATTCCAAGGAAAAAGAATTGAATATTACAAATTAACTTGGTAAAAACAAGTTAAAGGAAGTCGTCCACCTTAGTGCACATTGCCAAACAAAAAACAAATTAAAATCTTATGACAAGTTGCAAAAACTATTGTTAAACATAGGAATGGTCCAGAGTGTAAGAAAATAGATGTTAAGATTCGTTAGGTACAGTACAAATATGAGTACAAAGGCAAAAACAAAGGTGGCTAAAATACAGTGACACAAAGTAGGAGAGGAAAGGAAGTGAAATCTAAACCATTAACCATTGTCTAGCAGATGACCAACATAAGGTCATTGTGTTTCTTGTTCAAAGAATGTTTAATAGCCGATGCTATTATTTAGTAATAGAAAATACTTTCTTTTTGTTAAAATCTTATGTGAGCTTTGTAATCACAAAATGTTGGCTATAAGTCAAGTTTAAACAAGTTTAAATGTATAAAAAGCAAGCTTTTAGCATAATAAATCAGAGCTCTCTACATCATCCTGGTGTGCAGACTCTCATTTTCGCCGACTTCGTCCCTCACCTGCTCTTCACCAAGAAACCCCTTGAGTTTCTTGTCACGACCGTGGTCGGGTGGTCGGTGACACTGGTGTCCTTCTAGAAGGGCTCTGTGTGTTGGGGGGCATCTCTGTGGGAGAGCTCTGTGTGTGCTGGGATCTTTGTGGGAGGACTGTGTGTGTGTGTATTGGGGGGTCTCTGGGAGGTCTGTTTTGGGGGTCCCTCTGGAAGAACTCTGTGTGTTGGGTCTCTGTGGGAGGGTTGTGTATTTGTGTTGAGGTCAATGTCTGTGGGAGGGTTGTGTGTTGGGGTCTCGATGTTGGGAGTCTCTGTGGGAGAGTTGTGTGTATTGGGGTCTCTGTATGTTGGGCAGGTCTCTGTGGGAGGGTTGTGTGTGTTTGGTTCTGTGTGTGTGTTGGGAGGGTCTTTGTGGGGGGTATATATTTGTTTGGGGTCTCAGGCAAGATGTAGAGACTCAGTCCTTCCTGATTGGCACCCCTGAAGCCCTCCTGTGTCAGACTGGTCCTTGGGGCCAGGACAGTCACTGTAGCTGCTGGGCACCTGCAGCCTTGAGTGGCTCTGGCAGAGGGTAACCCTGGCACGCAAGAGTTGGGACTCAAGCAGTCATGTCACAGAAAAGCACTGAGGTCACACTGCTCTGATCTAGCTGCAGCACGGAGGTTCATGGACTGCCACCAATTCGCCTGCGCTCAGGCCAGTCTGTCTCAGTTGGTATAAACCTGGGAGGGACCATAGTACAGCCATCTCCCATCCTCACCCTGTGCCCCAAATGTAGCTCCTTGACACCTTTCCTCCCTGGCCCTGGCGAGACCTAGGGCATCCTGCATCTGGCCTTGTTTCCTAGAACGGCAAGCTCCTTCCTGGAGCTCAGCTCTGAGTGCCGGCTTTCTGCTAACCCCTTCACCAAGCGGGGGTATGGTGGGGGGCTAGTTCAGGAACAGAGCTGGCCGCTCTGCTGTGTGTTTGAGATGTGATCAGGGCTCCCTCAGGCAGACCTGGCCTCTGGGGAATATCTTTCAACCCTCTTCCTGAAGTTACTAAATCAGCAGCCAGCTTTTCAAATCTGGTCTTGGGCCCTAGACTACACCTCCGCTGCTCTTCATTGGTTTGAAACCCCTTTGGGAATGGTGGGACTCATGAGAATGGTGAGAAGAGAGCCCAGGGTTTGCAGCCAGAGACCAGAAATCCAGAGTCCTAGATCCCTCCCAGCTCCTCCGCTTTCCTACGCAGCCCATCCTTTCAGGTGTTGTAGGCACCATGAATTCATGTGGATGTGGCTCTGACACAGTGACCCAATGCACAGAAGCCAGGCCTGATCCTGCACCATCTTCACTCAGCCAGCCCAAGGTTGTAGCCATTGTGGCAGTCTTCAGGATCTTCTTCTTCTTCACCATCTGTGGGGGTCCTTCTCCAGGGACTGTCCACTCCTGATGAGAAACCTGAATTTTGGAAGACAGGAAGGGATAGCGCAGATGGATGAGTGGAAACAGAAAACACAGGGGGAAGTGGGAAGAGTGGTTTACAGTAAAGGGACAGCAGCCAGTGTCACAAGGGTGTAGGGATCGCTGACTGGGAAACTGATTTCCTCTGTAAACTCTCATTCAAATAAAAATAAAAAGCTAAAAAAAAAAGTCTTAAAAGTATAGAAAAGGAAGCTTTTGATTATTATGTTAAATATAATTTTGCAACAACATCCACAAGATCTAAGTGTGGTGATATAACTATGTTTACAGGAACATAGGCATATGGGTATCAGCAGGAGAAAAAGGGATGTTTTCTTTCCATCATATGCTGGTGGCATGTTGGACTACTAGCTCAAAGTTCAGTGGTTCAAATCTACCAGCCAATGATGGACAATCTCGCCTAGCAGAGGGTGTTCCTGAGTCAGAATTGACTGGGTGGGAGTGGGTTTGGTTTTTGGTTTAAAGGACACCAGTGAATTTGACCCACAGTATTTCCAATTGTTTCATATGCATCTGAAAGTCTGGTGATGAATAAAGACCACCAAAGAATTGATGTCTTTTAAATGGTGCTGGTGAACAGTTTTATTTCACTTGGACTGTCAAAAGAACAAACAAGTCTGGGATAAATGCTAGATTCAGTGCAACTGCAGAGTGCCCTGCACACAGGATAGTGAGACTTCCTCTCACACAGCTCTGGACGTGTTATCAGGAGTCAGTCAGTCCCTGGAGAAACATTTCCTGCTTAGAAAAGTAGAGGATCAGTGAAGAAGACCCAGATCCTCAAGGAGATAGACTGAGTGGCTGCCAGGATGGACTCCAGTACAATGCAGGGTGAGGACTTAGGGTGAAGACCATGTGGGGCCACTAGCTCCACCTCCCGCTGGGAGGGCCCTAGGGTACTGTGCTCAGCCATCATTGAAGGCTGAGGACTTGTGTTTACCCAGAAGCACCCAGGAAGAAAGACCTGGCAATTTACTGCCAACATGAGTCACTGAAAACCTCACATGTGGTCACCATTCAACACTAACTGAAAGGAACTGCAGTGAGGCTGGCTCTCAGGCCTCCTTCCTGGATGCTGCTCGTGATTCTATCCTTCAACTGCCTGGCTGTGTGGTCTAAGCTAGGGTGTGTTTTTGTCTGCTCTGCCCATGGCCCAGCTTGCTGGAGACCAGTGCAAAGCAAGGCCCCACCCACGCAGTTACTCTGACCCAGTGATCCTAGAGACAACTGCTCCAGGGTGTCTAAGGCTCTACGTATTTACAGGGGCAGATTGCCTCATCTTTCTTCCACAGAGAAACCCACTCGGCAGGGTTTGACCTGGTGGGTCCAAGTCTGTGGGAGGGCCACGTGAGGCACATGAATGGAGGAGGAGGAGATCATGAGTCTTGTCATCTAAGAGCCAGGATGAGTCATATCCCTATAAGCCTCTGACAACTGAGAAAAGGTGGTAGTTGGGCCTCCTGCAGACATCAAAGTAGGGGCTGTGAGGTCAAGGGTCCAGGTCTCTTTACTTCTCCAGAGAGGGGTGAACCTGAGTGGTTCTGACAAAGCTTGCTTTAATTGCACTTCATACAAAACCGACCACAGTGTGTGTACAAAGACAAAGATGCTCAGCAGAGCAGGGGCCTATCCCCCCTGGGAACATTCTTTGCCCGCTCTGATCCTGGAGGAAGCATTCTCCACTAAGCCAGAACCGATTTCTGCCCTTCTGAGGTCCAGTGCAGGTGACGAGGGCGGTGTCCTGGATGGCAGTGGGAGCACCGTGTGGCTGGGCCGCTGCTGGTGGCTGGAGTCTGCCAGCCAAGAGGTGCTTTGGTTTGCTATCCTCAGGACATGGCTCTCCCAGGTCCTGGCACACAGGTACTGGGTGGCAGGGAGACAGAGAGCCGTGGGCATGGGGAGGGCAGAACGTGGGTAACGTGATTCTGATGGAACAGCTGTAAAGAGCTGGTGGGCCAGGGGCTCCCCGGGGTCATTCCTGCCCACGTCTCTTCCTGCCCCTAGGTCGCCGGCACTGCCTGCCCAGCTGCTCCTTTCTGGCAGCGCTGGTGGTGAAGGTGACACACTGGGCATCCAGGAAGTCCAGGAGCCGGCCTGCAGCCATGTGGATGCCATGTCCACGCAGTTCTGTGCGCAGCTCCGCCAGCTCCAGAGGCTGGTACAGCAGGACCCTGCGGTACAGTGCTGGCTGTGAACGAATGAAGCGCCACACTGCTGCTTCTGTGTCGGCCACTTTGGCTGCTGCCTGTGAGCTGGTGACTCCCTCCTCACCATTGTCGCCTTCAGACTCAAGGGCTGCCCCGAACTCAAACTCCTGGCAGGAAGAGCTGGGAAGGACCATAACAAAGGAGTGTGAACCTTGCTGGGACCAGGACCCCGGAGGACACCCCGGGCCTGCTACCTCCTGGGCAGCCTACAGCTTGGCTCAGAGGTTCTGGCCACACCAGCAAAAGCAGTTTCTGAGCTGATTTCCTGGGTGACAGGCTGGCAGGCTCCTCAGAGGGAGTGCTGGGGACTACCTGCCCACATTTCCTGCAGTTTCAAGCCAAGACTACCAGAGCTCTATGCCTCACTGACCCAGTGCACAGCCCATCTCTCCCACCCAGTTACCTCTGGGAACCAACGGAGCCATCATTGCTGTCCATGGAGGTGACCGCAGACTCCTGGGAAGCTGGGAGCCAGTTGTCCCCATCAGAGCACGCAGGCCCCTCCGTGGGTGGTGACATGTGCTGTGGTTGGGGGCTGGCCTCTGGCTGTCTCCTTTTACACCGGGGACTCTTGACCCCCTTCATCCCAGTGGGTTCTTTGTGCCTTTGGTGACTGGGGCCAGCAGTGGCCTGTGCTGGGGGCTGGCCACCTGCTCTTGAAGTCCGGATGTCCAGGGTAGTGTGGGCTGGGGGTACCTGTGAGGAAAGGATTTCGTCCTCCGAGTCCGAGTCCAGGGTCTGGTGAGTGTACTGGAATATCTCCTTCAGCTTCAGGACCATCTGGCGCTTGGGCAGTGGGCGGACTCCAAACCTGAATGGGGAATAGGGAGGCAGGTGGACGTCAGGAGGTTGTCAGGACTCCAGCACACGTGGTCAGCACCCTCCACACCAGCTATGAAGTTCATCAGAGCAACGACTCCCAGTGAGTCCATGAATGGTTTTTCCCTGCCCATGGCACTGGTGCATTCTGATTCAGTGACCCTCCCTCAGGTGTCCGAGGCTGTAAAGTCTACCTGTCGTTCTTCTGTGGAGCTGCTGACCTGTAGTTAGCAGCACAGCACTTAACATTGCATCACTGCAAGTAGTTCCTAACGAACAGCCTGGTGCTGAGGAACCTTCCCAAGTGTGGTTTTCATGAGCATACAAGGTCTGTGTCTCACCTACATGCCAACTGAGCCTACTGTGAGGAATATTTTAGGAAGGGGCTCTCCCCCAGCATTCAGAGTAATGGCGTCAGCCTGAAGAGGCCCATGTGGCTCCCTTGACACCAAGCTGGAGAAAACATTGACTTGGATGTGACCATTTTCTTGTGGTTTTCAAAGTCAGGCCTCCCTTCTGCCACCATGAAACAAGGGAGGCTGCTTTCTGGGTTGTCACCTCAAAAGTCTCTGTCTGTGAGCTCTTCAGCCCATATCTCCTCAGAAGCCATCTGCATCACCTCCCTCCTGGACACCAGGCTGGGCAGTCATGGCTACCAGGAGAAGCAGGCAGCATCTGACCATGAAGACCCCTGAACAGGATCCTCCTCCTCCTGGTTCAGTGAGTCATGTGCGACTCAGAAGAAGCAGCCTTTCCAGAATTGCACTAACCGATCCAGCTCTTTCTTCAGTACTGGAGTCTCCAGGATGGAATATCGTGGCATCGGGGTGATGGGCACTTTCGGGGGCAAGTTCTTCTTCTGATAAACGCCTTCTGGGTAGGAAAAAACCACAGGGTTCAGCATCAGGGGCCTGGATTTTCCTCTCTGACACCTACCAGGCTGCCAAGAACAATGCTGTTCTGGAAGAGCACTGGCTGCTATCCTGCCCTGTGGACAGGAACATGTATCTCGCCCTCCACCCCGCCTCACTCCCAGGTTCTAGAATCATCTGAGGGATTCCAGGTGCTCTATGTGCTTCACAGGTACCATGTTTGTAGACTGAAGGCTCATGAGATGACACATCTTCACATGCACAGACCACAAGGTGACCTCTCCCTCACAGCCAGTGATGGACTCTGATGCCAATTTTTTTTTTGCCGGCAGCTTAGCCTTAGAGCCAGTGGTGGACTCCAGTGCCAATCTTTTTGCTAGCAATGAGCACCAAATCATTGTGCCACCAGGGCTCTTGTCACATTCACTATTATTAGATGACTATTATTGGGGAAAAGTGGGGAGACTGCAAGTGCTGGAGAGGGGATGAAGTCTAGAACTCACTGCTGGAGATAGGATAAAATTATGAGCCCTCACAACTTTAAACACAGAAATACCATATGGCTTAGCAATTTCACTCATAGGCAGAAGAACCGAAGACAGGTCTTTAGGTGCCCAAAGTGGGCTCTGATACATAGGGATCCCATGCACAACATAATGGAACCCTGACTGTCCCGTATCATCCGGTCTCTGCTCTGCTTACACCCTCGGTGGCAGCCAGTGTCAGTCCATCTCATTAACAAGCAGAACTTCCTTTTGGTGCCCCTCTACTTTACCAAGCATGATATTCTTCTCCTAGTCCCTTCTGACAACATGTCTAAAGTATGTGAGACCAGTTCTCACCATCCTCATTTCTAATGAACACTCTGGCTACACTTCCTGCAGGACAAACATCCCTGTAAAACTTGCTTTTATGCCTAGATTATTTGTAACAACTAAAAAGCAGACACATCCAAGTATCCAGCAGCAAGTGACTGGATGAACAAAATGTGGGTTCTCCACACAGTGAAGTATAATGCAGTAATAAAAAGCTCTGATGTAGGCTACAAAGTGGATGAACTTCAAAAGTATTACATCATGTGAAAGCAGACAGGAACAAAAGACCTCAGATTACAGGATTCTAATATTGTGAAATGCCTAAAAGAATCAAAGTTATAGTAACGGAAAATTACTTCCCATGTTTTTCATGTCCAACACTCAAGGAACACAAAGCTGACTGACATGCGAGGCATTGTGTGGCTTGCAAAAAATGGTTACATGTGAATTACCTGCATAAAAATAAGGTAGTGGTTTCCAGAGGTTGGGGTGGGGGAGATGATGGGTGACTATGTCACAAAGTATCTAAGGAGGTAAGTACGTTATGAAATTAGATAGTAATGGCCTCATAGCACTGTGGATATTGTAAACACGCATATATACTTTAAAGGGGTAAATTAAATGGTAGGTGGATTACATCTCAAAGCTTTTACGAACTTTGCTGGTGAAGTACATAGGGAGTTTTGCTGGCAGTTCAAACCCATCAGTGGCTCCTCAGGAGAAAGATGGGCAGTCTCCTCCCATGCGATTTACAGCCTCAGAAAACCTACTGGAGGGTCAGCTACGAAAGCTATTATCTTAGAAAAAAACAATTATTACTATTTTAAGGACAAGCGGATGGCTTAGGAATTGGTCCTTTTAACTTTTTATTGTGATCTGAGGAAAATTTACAGATCAAAATGGTTTTCATTCACAACTCATACATGTTTTGTTTTATAACATTAACTACAATACCTATTGCATTCTTCCCACTTTTGCCCTGTGAACTCTCCTTTCCAGTTATCCTTCTATCCTACTCGTTCCTTCTGAGCTTTCACCTTGGGCTTGATGTTGCCCTTCTGATCTAGTGTGGGAATGTGTTCTTCCCTGGTGGGCCTAAATATTTTTAGAGTCATGGAGCCCTGTGAAACTCTCTTTGAGAAGTAATAGCTATTTACTGAAAAATGATCCAAATTTTTGGTTGAGTTTATCATGCCCTTGAGGCCCACTGATCTAAAGTTACCACTTTAGTTCTCAGAGCATCACCTGGAAACTGGTTAGAAATGCAAATTTCCTATCTGCTCAGATGCACTGAACCAATAACTCGGGGCAGGGAGGGTGGTGCCCGCTATGTGTGTAAGAAAGCTTCAAGATGATTTGACACTTCAGGCGGAGAGGTGCTGGCCCCTGAAGTCCCATCAGTCTAGGACTTAAGGAGGAAGTGAAACTCCAGATGCTCTTCTCCTGAGGAACAGTTTCCTTTTGATCTTACCACTCAGCAGCCTCCATTCACTCAGGCCTGCCCTGCCTGAAAGCAGCATCTAGAGGCTTCAGAGCAGGACTGGAAGCCTGAGCAGCTCAGACAGCAGGTCCAGAGGCCTGAGCAGGACCCACAGGTCTAAGGGCAGCACCTCGCTGTTGAGACCTGCCAGGCTTCTCCTCAGTGTCAGAAACAAAACATCCACACAGTTGGTCGGGCTTCCTCCGCTCCTGACCCTCACTCTGGGTCTGTTCTGACAGAGAACAGGTCATGGCCCACATTCCCTTTATCTTTTTTCCTAAATTGAGGTAAAATTCACTTAATATTAAATGAGCCACTTTCAGGTTCACAGTTCTGCTGCACTTAGTACCTTCACAATGTAATGCAGCCAGCACTTCAGTCTAGTTCTGGAACATTATCACTACCCTAAAAGGAAACCCTGTATTCATCAACTGTCACTCCCCAACCCTCCCTGGCAATACTAATCTCTACAAATATGCACGTTCTGGATATTTCCTAGTGATGCAACTCTACGACTATAAGTGATACAACTAAACTATGCAGGGTCTGACGGTGCTGAAGCCTTCTTTCTCTGTAGGATATCCATGGTCAATATCTAAGTAGAGTCAAGAAATAAAATGATGCACTGCGCTGGGCAAATCTGCTGTCAACCTCTTGAAAAGTGCTAAATAGAAAGGGTGTCACCTTAAAGACTAAGTTGTGCCTGACCCAAGCCATGGTCTTTTCATATGCATACGCAAATTAGACAGGGAATAAGGAAAACAGAAAAAGAACTAATGTCTTTCAATTGTGATACTGGTGGAAAACACTGAATATACCACAGACTGGCAAAAGACCAAACACATGTCTATGGGAAAAAGTGTATCCACGGTACTCCTTGAAAGCAAATATGTATGATGACTTCATCTCATGCACTTTGGGCAAGTTACCAGATGGGGCCAATTTGTGGAGAAGGACATCATCCAGGGAATAGAGGGTCAGAGAAAGAGAGGAGATCTCAATGAGATGGACTTTGTCAGTCGGTGGATGGTGGCAGAGATTGTGAGGGTGGGTCCAGAACCCCACAGGGTTTCATGCTGCTGTACACGGACGGGGTCGCTAGAAGCTAGGAGTGACGTAACAGCCATATTCTCCTGTGTGGATAGCCTTCACTGTGTTTATCCATCCATCCACTGATGGGCAGGCACTGGGTCTTTTCCATCTTTTAGCTGCTGTGAACTTTGTATTGCAACTGTATGGACGAATCTAATTTTTCTGATTGTCCATACAGGGGAGCAGACAGGTTAGGTCACATGGTGATTCCATATTTAGCTTTTCCAGGAATCAAACCTGACCAGTTTTAGGGTACACTCAGGTTTTGGGGGCAGGGTCTGGGCCTCTCCCAGAGGTTCTGACCATGTTCTGGGGTGGGCTCCACAGACTGGGCCAGATGGAGGTGCCTGGTGACCTTATGTCACATGGTTTTAGGAAACACTGGCTCTCGCTGCACTTTCATGCATACCTCTAGGCCACCAGCCTTGAAGCCCTCCACATTCAGGTCTGACCTCTGGTCCCTCAGTGCAGACCCCACCCCCATTTGAATCACTGGGGGTCTCACAGCCGCCTGGCTTCCCAGCTTGGTGGGTGCTCAGTCATTCTATCCCTTATGTGTATTACTGGGGGTCTCAGAGTTACCTAGTTGCTCTTCCTACTTCAGTACTCACTGAAGGTCTCAGAGCTGCCTGGATCAGTCAGTGCTCAGTCCTCTCATCATTCCTGCCCCGTTTGTATCACTGGGGGTCTCACACTAGCTTGGCCGCCTGGCTCAGTCAGCACTCAGTCCTGTTCACCCTCCCGGTCCCCATTTGTCCTCACTGGGGGTCTCACACAGACCTGGCTGCCCAGCTCAGTCAACACTCAGTCCTCCACCACCCTCCCAGTTCCCATTTGTACTCACTTGGGGTCTCGCAGCTGCCTGGCTGCCTAGCTCGCTTAATGCCGAGTCTCTGGGCCAGAGGAGGGACCTCGAGCGACTTGTCTTCTCCATCCCAGTCATCCCACAGGGCCGAGTTCAGCAAGCTCAGCCTACTGCTCCTTGGGGAGCCAGCTCGGGGGGACTGCTCCTGGGACTCCCTGTGGTCAGGACAGCTCCCTCGGATGGGGGTGGTGGCCAAGAGGCCTGAGGAACCACAGGCTGGGCTGTCTGTGGCCTCCCTGGCCCTGTTGCTAGGGCTGCTGGTACTCAGGGGACCAGTTCGCTCAAGGTTTAGGTGGTCGATGGGAATGGGCGAGAGGGGCTCAATACTCCAACAGCACTCATCCACAGGGATGGAGGGCTCCCCAGATGGCAAAGGGCTGCTGTCTGCCTGGTGAGGGGCCACCCCCAGCTCATCATCACTGTCCTCAACTTCTACCACATCCTCAGCAGTGGCCAGAGTCAGCTGGCGAGGACAGGGAGCCCCAGGAGAGGAGTCTTGCCCCTGCCTGGGCTGTGGAGTGGACAGGGTCCTGGAGGCCCACCTCTCTCCCCCTGAGCTCCATGGGGAAGTGGGCAGCAGGAGTGGGGGTGCTGTCTGGGGTACGATGACCGGCAATATGTTGGTGACTCCACTGGCCTCCTCATGTTCTGACACGACTCTGGGTTCCAAGTGGCTACTTTTGTGCATCAGAGGCCTAGAGGTCCGGCCCTGGGATGAGCCATGGTGGCTTCTGCTGGCCAGTGGGGTTGCAGGCACCAGCCATGATGTGTCTGTGGTGTTTTCCTGCTCAGGGCTACTTGGTCCATCACAGAACAGCCGGAGCTGCCTTTTGCTACGCGGAGAGCTCAGGCACTCCAACAGCCTGCCTTGTGTCTGGCTCAGTGGGGTGGGAGAAATTTCCAGATCTGCATCAATGTCAATGACAGAGAACAGCTCCACGGACCGGGGGCTGGCTTCTAGCACTTGACTTTCCTTGGCAGGAGTGTCAGGAGGGGGCTTCACTCGGGACTGTTGTAGCTCCAGCTCTTCATCTGAATCCAGTAAGAGGATGACCTCATCATCCCTCCTCGAGATGGGTAGAGAGGGAGGTGGTCCAGGGTACAAGTGGCCAGAGTCTGGCTGGGTGAGGTCGATGGACAGGGACTTTTCTGGGGACACAGGGACCCTATTACTCCTGCATGCCCATGTGGAGCCAACTTCTTTGCCCTCCTGGTGGCCTGGGTCTGTGAGCAGTGTGGGGACACCAATGTCCTTCCTCCACCTGGACGGCAAGTCTGGGGACAGTGAGTCCTGGCAGACTGCCCTGAAAGTGGCACTGCACGAGTGGGGTGTTGACAGGGGTCTGTCATCTGTGTGGAAAGGATGTGGGCAGGACCAGGAGGGACTCCCTCGCTGAGGGGAATGTGCCATGGTGGGGCCTGGTCGCCTGGGGGAGGTCTCCTCTACCACCTTCTTCTGCTCCTTTTGGCCATCTGTTATCCGGTGGGGCTCACTATATTCTTGGGGTGATGAGAAAAGCTGTTTGTGACCATCAATGGGGCACGGAAGGCAACCTATCCTCCTCTGTGCCCAGGACTCATCAGTGGGGCTCACAAAGCTGGAATGGTTTGGAATTTTCCTTGTAGCCACCTCACTGTGGGGACACTGGCCCTGGGGGGACAGGGAACCAGGCTGCCCCACACTGGTCCATCTGGTTGGGGCCTCCTCACTCCTTTGCCCATTTCCTATAGTTTCCAGGGATGTGTGGACCAGGACACTTGCTCTGACACACCCAGGAGCTAGACAGTCCTCCCTGGGCTGTTCAGTAGCTGTGGCCCCCTTAGTCAGTTTTTCCTCCTGGAGGAGCTTCCTCTGAGTAGCAGCGAACTCGTAGATCTCTTCCATTTCATCATCGTCCACTTGTTCTCTGTCCTCCCTGTGGCCCTCAGCTCTCAGGGGGGTCTCTACCTCCCCTTCATCTGCCCACACAGTCCGCAGCAGCTCTTGGAAGCTGTCAGCTCTGCTATCATAGTGCTCCTCTTCCTCCTCCTCCGTGTCCAGCTTGAGCAGAGCCTGGTCACACAGATGGACGAGTGCGTTCACACCAAACCTGCAACACATCACAGGCTGTGGTGCTGCTCTCCCCATGCCACTGGCTCGTGTGCTTTCCAGTGCCATGGGCTTGATTCTGAGAACTGGCTCAAATTTGCCAGGCCTATCTTCCAGGATGCATGTGTGTGGTGTGTGTGTGTGTGTGGGGGGGGGTACGGAGGGAGGTTTAAACCATCAACTTTTGGCTACTCTGCACCACCCAGGGATTCATTAGCCCACTAGTTCTGGTTAGTTAATTTTAATGACTGTGAAGTTGACAGGTAGTTGAGCTGACCTGAGGGCGAGGGAGCGCAGGTCAGGGGTCAGACGGGAGTTCAGGCTGGCATCCGCAGTGTAGAGATAATGCAGGAAGGCGTGAACCACCTGTGTGCTAACGTCACTCAGCAGGACACGCTGGACCCTCATGTCTCCATCTTCCACCGCAAAGAAGCCTTCACTGTTTACCTGAAGAAGTAAAAACAACAAGGCTTGCTGACTACGCGGGCATGACGTGGAATCAACACTTCGCTCAGCTGTCCACTGCTCTAACCAGTCTGTGATGTCTTGTTTCTTAAGTCTTCTTAGCAGGCACAGACAGAGGACTTCCATCCATTAGGCTTCAGTTCCATCTATTAGGCCACAGTCACTGCCGATGAGTCCACGCCAACATGCAGTGACCACGCAGACAGGGCAGAACTGCCCTGGAGGGTCTCCAAAGCTTTGATCTTTTCTGTAATTTCATTTTTCTCACATGGAGCAGCTGCGGGGTTTGAGCCACCAACATTTGGGTCAGTGGCCCATTGCCTAATAGGCTAGGCCATGGCATTTCTGTTTTTAACACTGAGCAAGAATGAGTGTTCAAGAGGCCAGGGAGCTCTGGTGGCATAATGGGTGCTGTGTTGCACTGCTTACTGAAAGGTCAGTAGTTTTAATCCACAGCCATTCTGCAGGAGAACTATATGCCTTCTCCTCCCATAAACATTCACAGCCTCAAAACCCTGAGGGAGCCTTACCAGGTGACAGAGTCAATTCAAGGGCCATGGGTTTAAGTGTAGCTCAAAAACCAGTTTGCGTCCTCTCAAGAGATAGCAGAGGCTCTAGAACTCGCTGAAATGAAAATGAATTTTCTGGATTCTTGTGTGGCATGACACACAAGTCAAAGCACATCAGAAGAGTCAGAGCTGATGCCTTTAAACTTGTTCTTAGCACCTCAACTTGAAGAGTGTGGTGATAAGAAAGAAATTCTGGGAAGACCAGATTTTCACTCAACTGAAAGGCAATCCTGAGGTTTGCCCTTCACACAACTTCCTACCCTCAAACCTGCCTTTCTCTCTTCCCCATGGATGGCCTAACCACTAGGGCATTGGAGTGGAGGCCTTTGGGGCAGGGGGAGAGATGAGGGAGGGAAGGAGAGAAGAAGGGGCCAAAGGGCAGAGAGCAGGAAGAGGAACCCCAGTGAGAGGTTCAAGGGAAGGAGGATGAAAGGCTGAGAGCAGGAAGAGGAACCCCAGTGAAAGGGGCATGGGGAAGGAGGGTGAAGGGTAGAGAGCAGGACTCACGTGCTGGATGAGAAGCGGACACCGCGCATAAAGCACAAATTTATGGGCATAAAGCACCTCCCCGCTGTCCACTTGGAACTGGACATCACTCAGGTGAGGATTATTGACCATGGCACCGAAATCGGAGACCAGCAGGCCAAGGGAGACCTGGAAAGGAGACAGCAAGGGTGGTCAGGTTGCACACCCACCCACTTCTTGCCCACGCCTTATTCACACATGTACAGGGGTGAGAGAATCAGCACACATCAGCTGGATTCCACCTCTGGGGACCCTGAGGCCCAACAGTCAGGGACAGAACAAGAGACTCTTTCTCAAGCTCTCTCGTTAAGCAGCTGGTCCATGGTGGGGCCAGTGGTAGAGGTGGAAAAGCCTAACAATGCTGGGAAGGCTGTGGTGGCAGCAGGACCCACTCCAGAGTCAGGTCAATCTCATCAATACCCACAGCTGCTGACTCAGACCCATCGTGACCCTGCAGGACAGAGCACAGCTGTCCCGGAGTCTACATGGCTGCAAATTTTGTTTCATTATGATTTCTTTTTTAAAAAAAATAATTATTTTAATCTATGAATATAATTTTAAAAGCCTTGTTATAGTTAATATTTAATTTTGTTACTCAAAATCAAATATTCTTTTTCATTATTATTTCTTTTCTTTTTTTATCTGAGTCAAAGTCCGGGGCTGTACATATGTCCGCATTATAGGGGTTAACTGCCAACATGCCCAATAGCCATCCATGCTGTAACTAGTCTTCCTCAACCAACAGGTTCTTTGAGTGCATCAGAAACAAGGCTTCGTACATGCTGCACAGCAACTGTTGCTCATGTTTCATGCCAAGCATAAAACAACAGGACCTGGTGCATTGTAGTTAAGGTTGCTAATCACAAGGCTGATGGTTCGAGCCCACTAGCCACTCCATGGAAAAATATATGACAACTTCTAGGAGTCAGACTCAACTTGATGGCAATGGGTTTGGAGTTTTGTTTTTCAGAAAACAAACACCTGTAGAAACTGTCAGGAAGGAGGATTGTGGCAGGGCTCTGGGGAGAGCACACATTTCTGTGGGTAGCCGGTCACCTCTGAGGGAGGAGGCTAAGCTGCTTGTTTCTTGTTCTGGTCAAAGCTGTGGCAAGTCTTGGTTGCTATGCAATGCCTACATGACCTTCGTTTCTAGTGGTAATTCCTGAAACATTCTGACCCAGTTTGAAGGATGTTCCAGCAGGGGTCAGGGACTGCTGGAGACACAAGCTGCAGCTTTGTCTTCCTCATGTCTGTCCAGTGGTGTCACCAGCATTGGCATCAGGGCTTTAGTTACTACAAATATCCTAGTATTCTCAGGAAAACTCCATGAGCTGGCAACACAGACATCTGGACTGGCAGATGTGGCCTGGGAACCCTGGGGCTTGGAGGATCTAGAATGGACAGTGTGAGGCAGACGACACAGCAAGGTGACTTCCTAGGGAATCTGGCCTGTCCTGACTCCAGGCCAAAGCCTGCTCTTAGACTGGTGATCTGAATGAACCCACGACTTGGAGGCTCCCCAGGGGCTCCCTTGGGGCTCCCATGCTATAAGGTGGGTGATGAAAAGTGTGAGGGCCCAGAGGATGATAGCGAGCTGACCTTTCCTAACATCAGGGACCCCCTCGCTAACCTTTCCTAACATCAGGGACCCCCTCAGCAGAGCCAAATCTATGGCATGGCTGCATCCTTACCGAGGCGCCACTGTCCTCAAGGTGCTCCTCCTTGGGTGGCAGAACAAACCCCGACAAAGGGAAGCTGCTGGGCACCAGATCTGTGATGGGAGAGGGAGCTGCAGGTCAGAGGATCACCATCTTTTGGGGCCAGGAAGGAGGTGGCATTTATGCAACAACAACTCATTGGAAAAGAGTAACTCAGACAATATCCGCCCAACCACCTTCCAATCACTCACACTGACCCTGGCTGAAGCTTGAAGGGAAATTGACACGTCTGCCTAATTCCCACTGCCCTAGAGCATTCAGAGACAACATTCTTCCTGTGGTGCCAAGATGAAGCCTCAAATTCAATTCCAAGCTGCTCTCACAGAAACAAAGGACCATGAGGATGGTAGGTGTCCCTCAAGTGTCTCACCTGCTTCCTTGCCCCAGCTTGCCAGGCCCCTAGTGCTGGGCCCCAACCCCTCTCGGGCCAGGTCCACAAGGTCCTGTAGGGCCTGGCGCTCCCTTTGGCTGGAAGAAGGCAGTTCCTTCCTGGGGCTGGGCTCTGCCTGGTGCCCTCTGGGACAGCAGTCCTTGTGTGAGGGACTGTGGTGGATAGGGGGTACACACACACCCGACACTAGCTGGTCAAGTGGCATTAAAGACGATGTCGGCTCCTTTGTGGGACCCTGGAACAGAGACAACATAATAGCCATGCCGTCAGCAATGTGAATAGTGCAGAAGGACCCGGCCTGAGGAAAGACACTCGAAAGTTGGAAGATGAGGGGCGTGACCAGTGGTGGGCAGCTGCAATACAGGGAACTTCGCTGCCAGGGCCAGGCCCAGCCTGTGGCCCCAAGTGTAAAGAAATGTTTATGTCAAAGAGCCTCGGTGAGACAGGGAAGGTCCCTCCCGAGGAGTTGATAGTTGCTTCCAAGTCAACCCTTCTTCCCAGGGCCCCCGTGTTTTAGAGAAGAGTGCTCCATGGGATTTCTACTGGCTGAGTTTTTCGTAAATTAATGGCCAGGCCTGGGTGAACATGTGGCCTTTGTCGCCAAGTGCGTGAACCGTCTGCACTGGCTTCAAACTCCTCCCAACAATCTGGATGGCTTTGGACAGAATGCAGACCCTAGGGCCCCATCACAGAGAACAGGGTTCAGGGGCAGGGCCCAGCATTTTGCATGCTCCACAGCTTCTCTGGGAACATGCTGTTGAGAACCACAGGTCGTCCATTCTGAACTAGGAATAGCTGTAAAGGACTTCCATTCTGTCCTCTTCCTGACCCTCTCCAGAGCCTCACCTGGGCAAGTTGCTGAGGCAAAAGGATTGGCACCAGGCTTGCCGTGTAGAAGGCCTCTGGGGCCCAGCTTCCAAACAGGGTGCTGCCCTCCCACAGACATTTCTGTCTCCCCTCAGGCACCAACTCCTTCTTGAGGATCCGGCTTGAGGGCAGTGGTGGCGTGCTGGAGAACTCTACTTCCTCAGCTAAGAGTATAGCCACGTGATCCTCTGTCTGTCGCCACGTGGCCTCGGTGTCCTGGACTAACAGTGGGGGCAGAGAAGCAGGTAGTTTCTTCTTGCGACTCTTCTTCTCTAGAGACAGACAGAAACAGAATGGGTGAGTGATGGGAGTTGGTCCACTTATCCAGAACCTGAGGTGGTCAGCTCTGTGCAGACCCGAGTGTGAGGAATCCCCGGAGTCACTGTGGGCTCAGGGCCACTGCTTCCAGCCTCCTGCACTGGCACCCAAACCCCCCAGTGCTCCTGGCCCCAATTCCGGGCCCCTGGACCTCCTCCTGGGCCTGTTCTTGGTTACCTGTACTTGCTCCCAGTTTTATCCTCTCAGAAAAAGCACTCTCCAGTTTGAGGGTCGGCACAGTGCCACACTGCTCCACTTCTGAGTGGGACAGAGCCATGGCCACCAGCATGTCCTCCGAAAGCGCCTCAGGCTGGATGACCTTCTGCCTTTTCTGGGTCTCCTTCTTGGTGGGGGCTCCTTTCCGTTTTGGAGTCCCAACCTGATGGCTGATGCTTTAGAGGCAGACAAAGAGGAGTTAGTAAGGGCCAGAGGGCATTGTACCTGAGGCCTGTCCACACTTAAAAAGAGTGGGACCTGTTCTCCTCAGTAGGTCCTGAGTGGGAGCTAAATGTTCTTTTCAGGGGAGACCTGGGGAGGGGGATAAATGTTCTCTTCACTGGGGCACAGGAAGGAGGCTAAATGTTCTCCCAAATGGAGGCCTGAGAAGCTACATGTTCTCTACAGCGGGCATAAGGAGGAGGCTAACTGTTCTCTTAGTGCAGACGAGGAAGGAGCTAAATGTTCTCCTAATTGGAGATCTGAGGGCTTAAATGTCCTCTTCAGCAGGGGATCAGCAGGAAGCTAGGTGCTGCTGAGTTGACCATGACTCTTAGGGACCCTACGAACAACATATGGGAATGTTGCCTTAACCTGTACCACCCTCCCCATCTCCTCCTTGGTGCTCAATGTTCTCAGTGGGTCTGAGAAGATGGCTAACCATTTTTCTCAGTGGGGGACAAGCCACTCCAAGGTCTCGCTATATTTATTCTATTGCTTTAGATGAGCCCAGATGACATTACCAAGTTCAGCCCAGTCATGGGTCAGCACTGATGACTGGGCATGGAAAGATCTGGGTCCTCCTGGTGGGCATACCCCCCAGCATTGCCAAATCCTTCCAGTGGAGTCCAGACAGAGAGTTTCGTGTCACTCCCTAGATCCTGACCAGCTTCTGACTTGACTTCAGATATCCCCCAGGCACACCTGTCTGCACCTCCTCCTCTAGGGGCCTCAGGTCTGAAGTGAAGGCCTTCCAGTTTGACCATCAGCCTGATCAGCTGACTCAGGAGAAGGTACAGCACCCGAGGCCACCTAGATCACCTGGAGAAGCCCCACATGTCTGGGCACAAAATAGGATGGAAAAACTGAGAAAAGAAGTTTGAAAACAAACCTCCGAAGTTCTAAGTGAGTTCCCATTCAGCTCCAGCTTCTGGAGAAGCTGTATGACAGGCTCAGCCTTCAGGAGGGGAGAGACCTAGCCCCACAGCCTCACGTGCTGCACATGGCGCTGCCACGATGCCCCTCCAGGCCCCACTGGCAGGGCCTCAGCTGACCAGGCCACAGCTGACGTGCCCAGTGCATGGGAAGTTCATGGGTACATGGGATGCTCTGTTAAGTATGGTCAGTGGGAACCCCAACCCCACAGGGACCCAGACATCACAGGTTTGGTTGGAGAAAGCCCTGAAAAGGGCAGCTCCTTGCTGCAGCTTTCAACTCTGACAATCTTCTAGAAGGATGCCCCACGGTGTGCTTCACCTCTTGGAGTTATTAAAAAGCCAGACAGACACAGCTGAGGCATGTCCACCAAGATTTCAAGTTCTCCAACACGTTCACTAGAGGAGCCTGCTGGCACAGCAGTTAAGTGCATGGTTGCTAACTGAAACACTCCCTAGAAGAAAGACCAGGTGACTTGCTACCTCCAGGACAGCAGTCTGGACCCTTTGGGGTAGCTCTGGTCCCTAACCTGGGGTCACTGTAAAGGCACAGACCAAAAAACCAGACCAGCCTACTGCTGTGGATTCAAACTCAGTTGCCACACTCCCGGGTAGAGCAGAGCATTCCATGGACTTCCAAGAGTAGCCTTCAGGTGCACAAACTGTCACAACTTGCTCCTGTGGCGCTGCTGGCTTGGTAGGTAACAGATGAGCTTTAATCAGTGTGCCACCAGACCACCTTAAAATCTAAGCAAACCAAAAAACCTGCTGCTACTGACTCATTCTGATCTGTAGTCACCCTACAAAGATGTAAACTTTACAGGGAGGAGTTCCTGTGGTGTGATCCACAGGGAGGTACTCTATTTACCCCAGAGCTGAGCCACTGCAGTGGTCCCAACCCACCAGAGGCTCTGTGGGAGAAAGGGGGAATCTCCTCCGGTGTGATTTATTGCCTCAGAAATTCAACAGAGGCCCCATTAGGAGCTGCTCCGGTGCTACAGCAGTGAGTTAAGGTGAATCTTTGAGAGAGCAAACGGTAACATCTTTCTCCACAGAAAGCTGATGGGTTAAGACCACTTTAGTTGGCAGCTGGATGCTTTAAGCACTGCACAACCAGGGAGCCCTTAAGCTGTCCAATAAACCAACCAAACCCACTGGCACCGAGTTGATTCCAGTGCACAGAGGCCCTTGTGGCATTTCTGACTGGATTCTTCACTGGAGGAATGGCCCATTTTTCTTCCCTGGTGGACCTGAACTGCCACGGTTCTGGTTCGCAGTGTGACACACAGAACACTATGTCACTAGGGCTCTTTTGGAAGATGTAAGCAAGCCTGTGTTCAGTTAATTATGGTTCACCCCTACAGCACCTAACAAGTATTCAGGGGCTAAAATACAGATGAGCATGCTGGCTGTGAATCTCAGGCACCCTGAGGCTGTGTGAATTCTGCCACAGGGACATACCGTACATCAAGCCAGCTGCCCTTCTGCTCTGACAGCTGTGGTTCGCACCACTTTATTGGGGTCTATTTTAATACATTTGCAAATATTGTTAAAAATAGGATTCCATGGTTCTGTCACACCACCTCTTTGAACAATGCTAAATTATCTTCTACTGCATTTGCTGAGTGCTACTGAGTTGGTTCCAACTCCCAGTGACCATGCAGGATGCTGCTCAGATGGTATTTCAGGTGGAAATCTTTACTAGTGGACTGCCAGAGCCTTTCTCCACAGAGCTGCCGGGGAGTCCAGCAGACAACTTTTCTACCAAGCATTTAACCACTGCACCTCCAGGATGCTTTAATCTGGTATTAAGTTTATATAAACAGGACCACACTGAGGTGGGAACCATGGAAGACAAGAAGTGACCTGTGGAGAGGAAATGAGTTACCAAATACTCAGCTGCTTACCAAATACTCAGCTGCTTCTACAGGCATCAGCTATAGGAAGACAGTACTGGGGAACTTTAAGCAAAGGTCTGGGGGCAACCATTCCAGTCCTTTCCAAAGACTAGGCTGTCCTGTCGCTGCAGAGCCTCTGGGACTTGGACATTTTCAGGGATTGTGCCTTATAGTCCCGTCAAACCTTTCATTTCCAGAAATCCTCATCTCTGTATCTCCACATTATAAAAAGAGTTTTTTTGAAAAAAACCAGAGCAAGACTCTGAGACCACAAGAACTAGGTGGTGCCTGGCTACTACTGCTGACTACTCTAAAAAGGATTCCAGACAAGGTCTTAGGTATAATGGAGGAAAATGCCAAACAAAATATAAAAATGGTCAGCCCTGAGACTGTGGTCCTCAGACATCCTTCAAACCTGGAACTGAATTCACTCCCAGGGATCACACTGTAGCCAACAATGAAGCAAAGCCAACCCCACAGTCTTCAAGTCAGTTGCAGCTCACAGAGACCCTTCACAAAGGGTTTCTAAGGCTATACATCTTTATAGGAGACTGACCATCTTTCTCTCGTGGAGTACCTGGTGATTTTCCAGCTAGTGGCCAACATACAATGCAGTACACTTGCAGAACTCCTAAGAGTCCTAAGAGATGATCAGTGACACAAGAGAGGCATATATTCTCAACCATAGGAGATCAAAAGGGCACTATCTGTCCAGGGAGGAAGCTTAGAAGACATGAAGGGACGAGTGGAAATGGGAAACAAAGGGAGGAAGTAGGAAAAGGGTTGTTAACATTTTGAGGGCTACAACCAACTTCACAATTCAAAATGAAGGAATGGAAAACCAATACTCTCTTGAACTTTCACCCAAACCACAATAAAAAAATGCTGAAACCCAAACAAAACCCCAAAACAAAATAAGTGTGGCTACTCTGTAACATGCATGGCCATGGGACTCACGTAGACACCAGAGGGCTAGGGCCTCCCTCATCCTGTGCAGTCTGCAGCCGCACTGCCTGCAGCAGAAGCCGGGGGCCCACCTCCATCTTCAGGGCACACTGCTTCAGGTGAGCACTCCTGCTCTTGGAGGTGAGGAACAGCTTCCCACAGATGGGGCACTCAGGGATCGGAGGGGCAGGGGGTTCCAGTGCCTTCTCACCCTCATCCAAGCACCTGGAAGAGAGATCACCCCATGTGTCATGTGGACCTGTCTAACATTAGCACTGACAGAGAGTGGGGTCAGCCTGCCCAGCATGGACGTCTCCTGACGAGAACACTGTTGTAAGTCAGCCTGCAGACCCTCCACTGAGGATCTGTGAGCACAGGCAGCTGAAGCACCCAAACCACCAAATTCATTGCTACTGGGTCAATGCTAACTTGGTGACTCTGTCAAGGTACAGTTTCCTTTCACAGGAAATGACTGCCTAAGTTTCTCATATGGAACAGCTGATGGATTTGAACTGTCAACCTTTTGAGTAGAGGTCCAGTACGTTAAGTACTATGCCAACAGGGCCCTTAAAGAAAGTATGGGCAGACTGGACCCCTACAGGTTAGGGCAGGGTTAGTTATTAAATAGTCCAGCAATTAATTCCATTCCTAGGTACACACCCAAGTGAAAGAAACACATGCACTCATACAAGCGTTTATGCACAAATGCTCCTAGCAGCACCTTTTACAACAGCCAAAGGGTGAAGACAACCCAAACATCCACTAACATGTGGACGGATGAACCAAATATGGTCTCTTTATACAAGAGAGAGTCATTTAGCATCATAAGGAATGGAGGATGCCTAAGGTCTCTTTCCATCCAGAGTAAAAGAATGAAGAAAAGCAGTTACATGGAAACAATCAGTGCAAAGAACCATGTGAACCCCATACCCCTAGGACACCAAGACCAGAAGGACTAGATGCAGCCCAGCTACTGCTACTTAGATTACCACAAAAGGGACCACGGTATCAAGTCCTGAAGACATTGGGAGAAAAATGTGAAACAAAACTCTAAATCATAAAAACACCAGGCTCAGGGAGCAGGAGCTCTGGTGGCCTAGTGGCAAGAAGCTGTACTGCAACCCCAGAGATACACAGTTTGAATCCACCAGATGCCCTGCTCGAGAACAATCTCCTCCTGTACCAGTCAGATCTGATTTGACAGTACACACACAAAAAGTAATAAAATTTAGAAAAAAATTATAAAAATACCAGGCTCTGACAGTGACTGGAGGAAGATCCAAAACTATGGTCCTTCGACACTCTTCAGACTGTCTGGAGGCAGACTCAACCCGGAGGTTCAACTTTGAGCCAAACAACAGACAGGACTACAAGGTGAACAGTAATTGTAGGGAAGTACTCACTCCTTAGAACAGCTCATCCTAGGATATCAAAGCGGCAATGAGTTTGCAGGGAAAAAGCTCAGAAGGTAGAAAAGAGGAGGAAAGAAGGGCAAATGAAAATGGAACAGGAAGAATGCTGCTGCTTTGTGGGAACAAGTCAAAATGAATGACTGGCTGAAAGGAAAACCAATTTGCTCTAGAAGCTTTTATTCAAATGATAATTTTAAAAAGTTTCCCCAAAAAGAGTAAGAAAAGGTGGGTTGAGGTGCCATCACTATGGTGAGGTATCGCAGGATCCCTCATCAGCTCTACCTGTTCACGTGCTGTTCTCTCCGCATTACATTCATGGCAGACAGGTTCTTCTGACAGATCTGGCAGAAAAACCACCCCTTCTCCTCCAGGTCCTCTTCACGGGTAGCCACTCGTTCCTGCCCCAGCTCCTGCTGCAGGGCTGAAGCCACTGCCGCATCACTATCTGTGGCAGGGGACCCAGGCCCACAGCCTGAGGAGAAGCCTGCGAGAATAAACACCAAAGAAGGCTTACCTGCACACGCTGCAGGGCCAGGCAGGATGTGGAAACCCAGCACCTGGACTGCTCTGCAGCCAGTAGCAGTGCCTCGCCTGGTCCCCAGCTCTGTCCACTTTATGGGGCCCTCGGAACTCACTTTTGTTAATTCTGACTTATAGAGACATTACAGGACAGAGCAGAACTGCCCCAGTGGGCTTATAAGACTGATCTCTATGTGGGCAGATGCTTCATTGTTCCCCTAGAGAGTGTGTGTGTGTGTGG